GTTCTCTTCTCACTCTCTGAACAAAATGTGCTTAAAGAAAAAACTGTGAAATCAATTTGCGTTCTAATATGACAATAAACCCAGGGGTTAAAAGACATATTTCCCTTTGTGGTCATTCAGACTGTTCTACTTTGTGAAGCACCTCAGGAGGGGAACACACACACACACACACACACACACACACACACACACACACACACACACACACACACACACACACACACACACACACACACACACACACTCTGAGAGTAGTAAACACTGAAATCAATGTTCACAGCAGGATCTGAATGGACTGCACTAACCCAACTAAAACCATTAGCCTCTAATGGGTGAAACCAACGTGAGCGGGCCTGGCTCTCCACAGCTGGTCTCAGAGCTGCATTAACACTGAACACTGACTGTCAGCATGCTAACTGTATTAGCAATGTGGCTCCACGCTGCTTATGGAAATAGGATTGACTGCAGGATGGTAGGGAGAGGCTTGGCATGCTAGCATGAGATTTATAATAGAAGTCAATAAAAGTCAAAGTGAGTGTGTGAGTAGGTTACGGCACAACACATGTGTTTTGTAATTGCAGTCAACTTCCAGGGTCAGTAATGGGATTTTAAATCTTCGTTCGTGGCATTAGGGATGTGTGTGTCTGTGTGCATGTGTCTCGATAAATAATGTGCACCAGTAAATGTGTGTTCTTCTGTCACACTGTGTTGTATTTAGTTAGGAATATACCCATTGGCATATTATTTTGTCATGATAATTGACGCCAGGCTCCCCTGAGTAATAGAGATGACATACAGTATGACATGTGTCTTCCTCTAAGTGTCTGATAACAGGAGACATAAATGAGGATGGAAAGTCAGTTTGATCATAAGGAAATGGAAATTGAACGTTTCATAAGGAGTGAATGAAGACTGATGGCTAACAGATGTCTGGTTTTACATACCAGACATACCTCATGTACAGCTTCTCTCCTGGGTGCCACCACAGCAGGCCAAAAGCAATCAAAGTTCCAGCAGGAAACTAAGAAATATAAAACTTTCATTTACTTTGGCTTACTGTGTTTTCTATACCAACTTACCAAAGATCATTTTTGAACATTGGAGTCGATGTTTGATGTTGAACTGGAGAACAACTTTATAGAAACCGAATTTCCTATCTTGAAATATCCATGAGCGGTACAATGAAGGAAGGACTTTTGTACATTTCATGCAATTTGAAATGAAATGTGAAGTTTGTAGCTTATGACACTGAGTGAATAAAAGCGCCTTGAAGTTACATTTTAGTTAGTTAGAGCCTAAAAAGCATCATATCTCAGAATTATTAAAAGGTGCACGGATCTTTGGTTCTTTCCTGTAAACTACAGTAAGGACATTAATTCAATGACATGTATAAGAGGTGTCCCTTGTAGTAATGAACCCAATGAAAATATGTATAGGACTAGCATTCCTCACATTTCTAAGGAAGGACTTGTTTTTTAGCTTTCCAGCCTGAAACGGCACTGGTTTGATATAGTTATTTGGTTAACTCGCAAAAAGCTCTAAAAACCCCACTGTAGTTGTCACCAAACAGCATAACCAACGTCGGTAGATGAAGATCAATAACTGGGAACAAGGAACACAACTCAAAATGTAAGATGTTATCTAATGTTCAGTCAGTCAAAACAAAAGTCAAAGTGAAAGTCGACTTTATTGTCAATCTCAAAATATGTTTACACAGAAAGACCGAAATACTGTTTCCCACAGTCCAGAGGTATAAAAAAACACACACATTAAAATGCAAGAACACAAAATAACCATTTACTTCAAGTAAGCAGGATATATA